CTCAGGTGAGGATTTTTTAAAAATAGCTATAGCCCTAGCGGGTTTTGCTCAGTGGGTAGACCATCAGCCTTTGGACTGAAGGGTCCCCGGTCCGATTCCAGCCAAGGGCACATGCCTGAGTTGCAGGCTCAATCCCCAGTGTGGGGCATGCAGGAGGCAGCCCATGAATGATTTCTCTCATCATTGATGTTTCTATCTCTTTCCCTCTCCTTTCCTCTCTGAAATCAATAAAAATATTTTTAAAACTATAACAAAAATAAAAAATAGCTGTAGGATGTGACATAAGCTACTCAACCTCTCTAAGTCTCAGTTTCTTCATCTATAAATGGTCACTACCTGGAAGGTAATGGTGAGAATTAAGTGAGAAATGCATGGACAGTGCCTAGCTCAATGCTGGCACAGGAGATGCCCAATAAATATTAGCTGTCATCATCATTATCACCATAATCATCACCATTATACCACCAGTGGCAATCAGGTCATGGTGTCTCCTGCTCTTTGGTGTTGTTTAGAGGTTGTGTGAGAGGGTTCTCCACAAGCCACAGAGCTGCCCTCATTAGCCCCCCCCGCGCCCCCCCATACACACACACACACACACACACACACACACACACACACACACACTTTAGTACCCAGGACTTGGGAAAAAGGCCACTAAACAGATTATGATTCCATTTAGGGAATTAAATAAAAACTCAAGACTAACTCAATTTGGCTTCTGATGAGAGGGAAAGGTTAAAAGGGATTGAGGAAGTGCCTGGGCATGCTCTCAGAATTGTAATTGGCTCTGGATCCTGCCCCCAGACCCTCAGCAGGGCCCAGGCCCAAGGGGAATCCCCTGGGGTGGGGAGTGGGGACTTTGGAACTTGAGTCACCTGGAAGTGGGTGAGGGGTCCGAAAGGCCTCCAGGAACATTTCCCTACGGGGACCCTCTCCTCACAGCCCTTAGTCAGCCTAGCCCTGGATCGCAGGGGATCCCAAGACTGGGTGGGGAATGCGGCTTAGTCCGAAGTGGGGCCTCAGGGGAGCGGGTAAAGAGTGCTGCTTGAGGCAGTCACCTCCCTGAAGAAATATACCTGTGCTGTTGTGCTTCTTTAATGACATCTAAGCAGTGCTGATACTGACATCTCTTACTTTCAGATATATTTATTAGCCCCAAGACATTATGGCATGTGTATGTTTATAAACATATATTCTATGTGTAAATATCCACTCAGCTCTCTTTCAGCTTCAGATTATTAGCCCAGATTATTAGCATTAGCCCAGATTATTCCTTTTTAAATTTTTATTTATTGATGAGAGATATTTGTTGTTCCTTTTTTTGTTAATCCTCACCCGAGGATATTTTTCCATTGATCTTTTAGAGAGAGGGGAAGAGAAATAAAAAGACAGAGAGAAACATCAAACACATCGGGCATGCACCCTGACCTGGGCCCGGGCAGGGGCGGAGTCAAACCCAGGACCCTTTGGTCCACAGGCCAGTGCTCTAGCCACTGAGCCAAACTGGCTAGGGCTGTTGCTCCATTTATTTATGCATTCACTGGTAGATTCTTGTAGATGCCCTGACCTGACCGGGATCAGGTTGGCATGTTGGCAGGATGCTCTAACCAACTGAGCTTCCCAGCCAGAGCTAGCCCAGATTATTCTGAGCACCGTGAACTAAAAGTAAAAGTCAATTTCTGCTTAAGGGAGAGTGATAATTTGTCTCAGCATTTCCTCCTTTGAAGCTAACTCTCTCCATCCAGGCTTAGAAAGACTGTTATTTCCCATTGTACAGAAGGGGAAAGTGAGGCTCAAGGAGCCCAGGAGCTTGTTCAGAATCATCGCACAGGGTGGGATCCTAGGATGATTCCAAAACAGAAACTATTGTCTTGAGGGAGAGGGGGCAGGGAAAGACCCCACCTCCGCCCAAGCCTGAAGCCTGAGGCCTCCCCAAAGCCGCATGGGTTGGGGGCAGCGCCTGGGAAGCCGGCGCTGGTGGAGGGAGGGATTCCGGGGCTCGCCAAACAGCGGGGCCTCAGGCGAGAGCGTCGCCAGCGCGTCCTCATTCTGCGATTACTGTCAGGGGACCATCCATCAGCGCCGCCCAGGACGCTCGGCCCAGACTGCCCGCCGCCCGCCTGGGTCTCTCCAGATCGCATTAGCGCGGGGCGAGGGCGCACTGCGGCACCGGCTGCCCGGAGAGCGGCGGGTGGGCCACTCCGGGGAGTGGACTGGGAGGGGGAGGGCACTGCGGCACTGCGGGGGGCCACGGCGGGAGCCGGGCAGAGGTTGCCTTGGGACCCCTCCCCTTCTTACAATCTCCGGGTTCTGGCTCTAAAGTGATGAAGGGAGCGCTAGACGGAGGGGGGTGCGGGGGAGGAGGAACCCAGACACAAAAGGCTTCAGGGAGGGAGCCGGGGTCGTGCCTGGAGGAATCACCAGAAACAGACAAGGAGAACACCTGTCAAAAGGAAAACAGGAGGAAGTTGGCTGGGAAATGGGAGACTGGGATGGAGAGGGCAGAGAATGTGGGTCAAGGGGGAGGTAAAGATTTAAAGGGGAAGAATTGGAGACGAACAGGAGAGAACAGGAAACCCCTGGTTGGAAAAAAGCTTAGACATAATCTAGTGCAACCCCCTCCTTTTACAGATGGAGAAACTGAGGCCCGGAGAGGGCTCTCTCATCCAAAGATCCACTCCAGCTGCTAGGGGACCAGCCCCTGCCCCCCCCCCCATACCTTTATTCATTCAGCCCACCGGTTTTGAGCACCCGTTGTGTGCTGAGCACAGGGATCCTGGCATAATGCTCAGTTCCCACCCTTCAGAAGCTACAAGCTTTCCTCAGCGGGGTGGAGGGCTGAGCATCCAGAAAAGTTTCCTCCCCAGCCTTTCAACACCCCCTCTGCTGCCTGCATATACCCTCATGGATTGTGGGGGTTCCAAGGAAGAACCCCCTTTCCAGTCTCCACAGGACTCCCTAGGAGCTGAGTCAGGAGTTTGAAGTTTGGCCAACTTGTTCTGCTCCAACAGGCCAAGCCTGAGAACAAGGCCCTTCTTCCTTTCTTGGTCTGTCCTCTGGGGCTGGGCAAACCCCACACACTGCAGTGAGATCAAGCAGTGTTAACAGGACTGGGGCTAGACACAAAGAAGGACTTTCAGGTGCCACAGTCTGAAACCATCTTGTTGGGGCTCTAAAGCAGCGGTCCTTCCCTGAGGGTGGAGTTGGCACCATCTTCCGGGAAAGACCTGTTCTCTTTGGTCAGATTGTCTAGTCAGCCCTTTATGAGGGTTAGTGCTTGGCATGTGCGGGGGTGGGGGGGGGGTCCCCAGAACCTGCTTCCTGTACTCTAGACATGGATGATGAACTGACATCTCCTTGGCTTCCTCCCCAGTCCCTGCCGGCCCTGCAGCATCACGGAATCCCTGAAGCCTCTGCAACTCCCCGATCATCTCATCGTTCCCCTGGCTTTGGGAGAACTGTGTCTGAGTGGTTCCATCTAACCCTCCACAGCTCTCTCCGTAACCCTTTCCCTGACCATCAGGAAATGCCTCCTTATATCTAAACTAGATCCCTTCTTCCCCAGAGTCCCTCATCATCACTTTGACTTGACTTGGGATCTTGTCATGACCAGGGCTGACGCAGAGCGTCTTTTCCACAAACACCTCTCCCTCCCTCCCAGTGCTACTCATCCAACCCTCAGTGAACAGGCAGGGGATGGGGATAAAGTCCCTCCAAGAGCTCTGGAAACTTCTCTTTCCTCATTGGAAACAAGTTCCTGCATGTTCTGAGGTTGTGGTGGTTGTTTTAAAGAAGGGGTCACCTTCCCTCCACAGCCCAGGTTACATTTAGAGGGAGGCAAATGTGAGAGAGTTTCTTGTCCCAGATTCTCAGCCTCTGTGCCAGCCTCCAAAGAGGCGTGGAGCTCAGGAAAGAAGAGACATGAGCAGAGCAGGAGAAGGAGCAGCTTCTCAGGGGTGGGGTCCTCAGAGGACAAGAGAACTGGACACTCCTATAGCTCCAGACTAAAGACCCACAGGTGAACTTCAGAGCTGGTCCTTCTTGCAGGCAAAGCAATGCCCTGGGGATCTAGCCAGTGGAAAAGCCTGGGAAAGAGGCTATTTCTACAGCCCCTGACACTTTATCCAAAGGAAGATGGCAGCCTCACTCCAGGAGCAGTACTGGAAGCTGAGAGGTTGGGGGTAGACAGAAGCACTTCTTCCAAGGGCCTGCTATATTTCCACGCCCAGCCCAGAAGAGCAGCCAAGGAAGGAGGCCTTGGCAATAACTCTGTGTCTCTACACTACTCTATATGCCTTGTCTCGTGTGATGCTCAGTGCTGGGTTCAGCGCCTGGCACAGAACACGTGCATGTTGTACAAACGGATGAATGAAAAACCATGGGAGGAAGGTCATGATCCTCGATTATAGATGAAGAAACAGAGGCACAGGAAGGTTAAATGACTTGCTCAAGGTCACATGTCTCATCTGGGGCAGGGCCAAGTTGCAGTGGCTAGCCACTTTGGTGGTCAAGGGTGGTGGAAAGAAGGCAGAAAGGGAGGGAATATGCTGATACCACGTGGGTGGACAGAGGAGAGCTCATAAGAGATGACTCTCTGGGAAAGATGACATGTAAGTCATGCACATTTTAAAATATCTCTCTGAAGGTTGATGTGCAGCATTTACACAGCCCTGCAAATAACATGGAGAGGTCAAGGGGGAGATCAGACCATTGACGCCCAGGAGAAAAAGCTGACACTGAGAGTCTGAAAAACTGACCCCCAGAACTTTGCTAGCCCCTAAATGCTGAGTGACATCAGGCTAGCCACACCCCTCTCTGAACCTGTAGAGAATGGGGATACCAGATGAGAGGAGGGGGTGGATGGGGGCCAGAAGGGCCAGCTCATTGTCCTCAAGGCAGCAGTCGTAGGCATCAAGTTCTAACCTCCCTGCATCTATTTTTTGTTGTTGTTTTAGTGTTGTTTTTGTTTGAATATAATTATTTTGTGTTTTTTCAAATAGGAAATACATATACATGGTTGAAAACTCAAAGGCACCAAAAATTGTACAGTGACAAGTAAGTGTCTCTTCCGTCCTCAGGACTACCAGGCCACCTGGATCCTCTCTCCGTTATAACCACAGGAGCCACTGCCTTGTGTAACCCTCCAGAGATATTTCTACTTCTCCTGGCTTCTACCCTGAAGTCACCACAAAGCTGAGCTGAGCACTGAGGTTTCAGGGAGAGGTGGTGAAGGGACACACCAAACACCCTCAGGTTTTCCATCCACACTGGCGAGATGGCTGCATGATTAGTTGATCAGAAACCCTGCAGGTGCGAGAGGGAGGGGTCAGGGGCCAGACAGAGGCAGAAAGCCTCTCCAGGGCTCAGGTGCCCACACTGCTGTCCCAGGGCCTTGCAGAGCCTCAGGGCCCTCAGTGTCAGCCTAGCTGAGGTGTCAGGTTGGGTCCTGCTCAGGTTCTCCGGAGGACAGGCTCCACCTTCCCTCGACTACCTGCCGCACTGTTGGAGTCTAACTCCAATTCCTTCTACTTTAGGTGTAGCCCATGGCTTTCATTCTGCCCTCCGTGGACATGGGACATCCGATTTGAAATGGTGACCTGGTTCCCTCCCCTGACCTACATACACAATCTTAATCTTCCTTCAGGGCCTGTAATTCCACCTTGATCTTTTTTCCGGTCTTAGAGGACACATGCCTGCTTTGCTGTCTCAGCCACCCTCCCCCTGACCTCGAGGGCCTCTGAATTCCCAGTCCACCCTTCATTTCCAATCACTTCATTCTTGCCTGGCACCTCCCTTTGGTATTATCATCCCAAAGTACAGGCTGGTCACAGAGATGATGAACTCCCAACCTAAAGTGAAGTTTTGTGCTAGAATCAGGGGGTAAATCCAGGCGAGTCTCTTTTCCAATGGAATCTCTCCATTTGGGTGATGCCTAGCAGCCCAGTGGTCAGCAAACTCATTAGTCAACAGAGCCAAATATCAACAGTACTTCTTCAAAATAGACTCCCCCAGGCCGAAAATCGACTTCTGCGCATGGGCCATGAAGTTTCAATTGCACTGTACGTGCGCGCCTGCATGTGGTATTTTGTGGAAAAGCCACACTCAAGGGGCCAAAGAGCCGCATGTGGCTCGCGAGCCGCAGATTGCCGACCAGGGCCCTAGCCCAACTCTTGTACTTGTGCATATCACATTGACCTTCAGTTCCTCATGCTTGGCCTGCGGTGAGATAAGACACAAGGTAACCCCAAACCTGGGATGGTCCCCCCTCTCCTCCAAGCCCGTCCCTGGTTAACCTCATTCTTTGCATTTGCTCATTAAGCAGTTATTACTGAGCACTCTTCCAGGTTCTCAGGATACATCAGTGAACAAGACACAGAAAGACCCCTGCCTATGTGGAGTTTACATTTTAGCAGAGAGTCAGTAATAAACAATACATGTATTAAATGAGTAAATTATATTACAACATATTAAGGGTGGCAGAAAAATATAGGTCAGGGAACAAGGGATCAGGATGGAGGAGAAGGCTGCAATTTTAAATATAGTAGTCAAGAAGGTCTCGTTGACAATATAGTATTTGATCCAAAACTCAGAGGCAAGAAGATAAATAAGCCACAAGGGTATCTTGGGAAAGAGACTTCCAAGCAGAGGGAACAGCTGGTGCAAAGGCCCTGGGGTAGGCATATGCCTGGCAAGTCTGTGGATCCTGGAGACTAGTGTGGCTGGAGTAGAGTGACCAAGGAGAAGAGTGGGAGGGAATGGCATCAGAGAGGTAATGAGGGGCCAGATGACGTAGGGCCTTGTAGGCTGCCTTAATGACTTTGATCTTGACTGCAAGTGAAACAGGGAGAAAGGAATTACTAGACTTAAGATTTAAATGGTCCTTCTGTCTTTTGTGTTGAGAATAGATTGCAAGGGGGCAAGGGAAGATGTGGGGAAATTTATTGAAAGGTTATTGCACTAATCCAAGTGAAAAGTGAGTAGCAGCAGTGGACATGGTGAGAAGGGCCCAGATTCTGGATTTGGTGACAGTTTTGTCTTTCTTGGTTTCCGTCCTTTTAAAAATATATATGTTTTAATTGATTTTAGAGCGAGAGAAGAGAGAGGGAGAGAGAGAGGAACATCGATCTGTTGCTTCCTGCATGAGCCCCCACCAGGGACTGGACCCACGACATGGGCATGTGCCCTGAGTGGGAATGGAACTGGCAACCTTTCCGTGCACAGGAGGACGCTCAACCAACTAAGCCATACAGGCCAAGGCTGGTTCCATCCTTTTCCTCTCTTCACTCTCTGTCTTCTTTTCTAGGTTGTGTGCTTTCCTCTTTCCTTGAAGACTTTTTGAGGGTGGGTCTTAAGCCCTGTCCCCAGGATCTGTCCCAGGATCCAGGACACGGCATGTGCAAAGGGCAGCAAGCCCCAGTGCTGCCTAGGAACCGGCCGACAAGCAGGGCAGCCTGGAGCCGGAGCGGAGGGGAGGAGGCTGCTGTCTCTGAAGACTCAGTGATGGACAGTTATTGAAGGCGCTCAGCTGGGGGCTCCACTCTAGTCTTAATCTGAGCCGCCCTCGAGGAAATCATAACCAGCTCTTAAAAACATGTTAAGACCAAAGCTGGTGAGTGTGTTTGAGCAGAGATTCAGACAGCTACTTAACACCAGGGGCCTCTGGGCCTTAGATTCCTCTCCTCCTCACCCTGCCCTCTCCCCGCATCTGGCTGGTGTTTATCGGCCAAGACATTGTTTAAATCACACTCGCTTCCTATAAACATTTTACTTGAAATGCCACCCGCTGCTCCAGGAATTCATCTATCACCAGCTCAGGGGTGTATTTGAGGAGCCTGGGGTGATGTCTCCCCATCTCTCTCTCCTGTCCCCCGTCTTCCCTCCTCCCCTGACCCATATTCTCAAGTTTCACGCCACAAGAACAACTTCCCCTCAGTGGAACAGGGCACTAGTGCCAGGATTATTTATAAAAGTAGAGATGGCAACGAGCTATGGGAACAGCCCGGCCATGGACACTTTCTCTTGCAAAGTTCAATAAATGGACTCGGAACACCGTTTACCACCTGTTGTCGCCATCTCTTCTGTGTTTCCTGCTGGCTTCAGGGAACATGAGGGGAGGGGGGAGGGGAACAGGGGTCTAGACCAGGGCAAGGCTGTCCTCAGAGTAATATGCTTATAAACCATGCCCCAAATAAAGTTACCTCCTCACTACACCTGCGTTCCCTGCCTCTCATTTCTGGCCAGGCCCTCCCTGCCTTGGGTGAGCTCTCATCTTAGAAATGAGCTGGTCTTGGGTCTTGCTCTCTGGCAGGGGGCCCACTGCTGTCCCAGAAAAACCCTCATCATTCTCTCACCACAGTGGCAGAGCTGGAACTCAAGCTGAGGGAAGCATCTGATCTGGCCTGAAATGGGGTGCAGGAGATTCTGGGGGGCAAGGGTTCTTCCAATGAAAGATTTTATTTGACTCAACTCAAGGGAAAGAAAGTAGAGGCGGGGAGATGGATGGAGTCACTTCCCAAGGACTGGAAGCTTTCTGACCCTCCTCCTCCCCAGCAACAGCCATTGACGAGTTGTCCTGATCTGAAGGCTCGCTGGTGCTTGGGGCTGGAGGATCCTAGCCATTAAATGGCTTCTCTTCTGATCCCATTTACTTGGCCAGAGTTGCATTAAGGCAAGGCATCATCAGGCCCTTCCAAAGGCCTGATCCAACCCCTCCCCAGACACTGAGGTGCCTCTCTCTCTTTCCTCCCACACCTGTGCCCACCCTCCACCCTCCACACTGAAGAAGCTCCTAGGTGAGTTCCAGGGAAAGTCCAAGTGAGAAACTTCTAGAAGATAGTGAGAGATCTGAGTGAAACTCAGGCTGGGGTAGGCAGGTGAGCAGCCCTGGTTTTTGAGGGTCAAGTAATGCCCCCTTTACAAGCCAAATAAAGAAAAAAAGTTCTAAGGGGAGCATATGACTCCATAAAATAAAGGGACATAATTGGGAGCGATATCTAATTTATCTATTGAATGCCTCCTACGTACTCTTTTATCACTTAGATGGACAGAATATAATTGGTGCGCTGAACGCCATCAATCTCGGGGCCCGGGCTTCCTGTGCTGGCTACACCTATTACTGTCAGATTATGACACTGTAATACCAAGATCAATGACATTTTAAATGTGCTCCAGTTATGGGCAATTGCTGACAATAAAAACAGTGACAAATTGATGAAACTTGGGCAGCGATGATCTGGTGTCAAAAATAAACCATAAATAATCTGCTTTCCAAACTGGGAGAGGTGCCTGGCACACCAGCTCAGGGGGGAAAGGCCCAGGGAGAGGAGAACCCATCCTACGCACAGCCTCTTGGCCACTCCTGGGGCCCCGCCTGCTTTGGAAAACTCCCACTTGGCTGGGCTGCAAGGCCCCCCAACAGGGAGACAGAGAGGCAATCCGGGTCAAGCCCTGAAGTGTCTTCAGAGAGAATCCCCATACTGAGACTTTGGGAAGTGCCTATGTGTGGCTGCCAAGGCAGGTGGTTGATCCCGCGAGGTCCTGCCCGCACTGAAGAATGAGGGCTACCTGGCTGAGTCGCAGAGTTGGGCTGAGCCAAAGTCAAAGCTGAGAGAGACCTTGAGAGTCTGCTTGTTGGAGGGTCTGGCTTTGTCCTCCAAACTGGCTCTTAGAGTGCCCTGGATCCTTCCTACCTCACCTCAAACTCCCACAGGTATTCTTTCTCTAGGGAACCCTCCACCCCTTCCAGGAGCTGTTTGGTGTGTCTTTCCTCTGGGAAGGACTTAACACAGATGCATCCTGGGTGCTGGGCACCAGTGGGAGTGGGGATGGCTGGCGGAGTGTTTGTTCTGGGACCATGGGGAAGGGACACAAAAAAGAATATGAAAGAAAAAAAGAAGAAGAACATGAGCTGTGGCTCCTTCTCAGGTTTTGACTTACGTTAGAGGTTTCTCAATGAAAGGGAACTCCAGGCCTTCAACCAGCGGAGCGATATGGGGGTTCATTAAGGTAGAACTTTCCCCATTCCCTTTGTTTCGGTTTGATAATGTATATTTAAATTTTTAATTCATTCATTAGTTATTTCCCCCTATATTTGCTTATTAAAAATTTCTAAACATGCATAAAAGGTAAACAAATATTTAAGTGAACATCCCAGTTCCATATTTTTAAGGGATTGCCTTACTTTGTAGTTTTGCTCTCACACATCTCCCTCATTTTAATCATCACAATTTCTTAATGTGGGCACTACCACTGATACTACTATTACAAGGTTTACTACCATTGGGAAGCATCAATTGAGCAACTCCTACATGCCAAACTCTTTCCAGGTGTTTTACATAGATTATTGTTAATCCCTATAGCAGCCCTGTGAGATGGGTATTATTTTCCACATCTTATTTTTTTAATTTATATTTTATTGATTTTTTAGAGAGAGAAAAAGGGAGAGGGAGAGAGAGGGAAAAAACACACACATTGATATGACAGCAAAATATGGATCAGCTGCCCCCTGCATGCCCCCTACTAGGGATCAAACCAAGGACCCTTCAGTGCCCAGGCTGACACCCAACCAACTGAGCCACCCTGGCTAGGGCCACGTTCCACATTTTAGAAGTGAAGCGAAACAGAGGCTTAGAGCGCTGGTGGCTTGCCTAATATGATAGCCAGTTAGCAGCAGAGCAGGAAAGGAACCTACGATGTTGACTCTTTTTTCCACAGTCCCTTTCACAGACCTCATTTATCCATTTTATAGGTGAGGACCCAGAGGCTAAGGGCTCCCTCAAGAACCTACAGCGGGCCAGGGGCAGAGAGGGACCTAAACCTAGCTTTTCTAACTCTTCGTGCAATCCACCCACGCTCGTTCTAGATGTACCACAAGCGCCTCCTTCCCCACAAGAGAGCCTACTGTTCGCTCAGCCAGCTGCTCCGGCCTCGGGCCCTGAGAGGCAGCAGTGGACTGCAGGCTGCTTGGAGTCAAGCTGACTGATACTGAAATCCTCACTCTGCTACTGGGCAGCCGTGTGCGCGCAGGGAAGCCACTTCAGCTCTCTGAGTTTCAGGTTGTAAGAATTTAAATGGAGAAATGCACGCAAAGCATTTGGCACCAGAGCCTGGCATATAGGAAGTGCTCACTAAGCCGAAACCGGTTTGGCTCAGTGAATAGAGCGTCGGCCTGCGGACTGAGAAGTCCCATGTTCGATTCCGGTCAAGGGCATGTACCTGGGTTGCGGGCACATCCCCAGTAGGAGATGTGCAGGAGGCAGCTGATCGATGTTTCTCTCTCATCTCATCGATGATTCTAACTCTCTATCCCTCTCCCTTCCTCTCTGTAAAAAAAATCAATAAAAATTTTTTTTTTTTTAAAGGAAGAGGGTGCTCATTAAATGGTAGTCATTCGAGAAATAACCTGAGACAGTGGTAAGGAATTAAACAATCAAATTTAAAAATCAAACAGAGAAGTGACTTACTTGGGGGGAGCACCCATTGAAGCACTTCTCATTGGGGTACAGGTGCCCGAGGGCTGCATCACAGTGGCCGCACGGAGGGGTGTCACAGGATACATAAGAAGCCTCTCTGAGGTGTTTTGATGGCAAATAGTTTAAAACATCATTTTTATATTAAGACACAAAATATACTCTGGAATAAAATGCCAAGTTTTCTAAACCTTAAGGCCTCAAAAAAATGTGGTCCTTAGTGAGGGCCCTTCAAACTGAGCCCCAGGCTGCGGAGGTCCAAACCACTCTCCTAACATCAAAGGGGCTTTGGCAGAAGAGCTGGGAGTCCTTTTGTCAGGGCAGAGCCTGGGCTACGAGCCAGGATCTCTGACTCCTTCGCTCTTTAAAAGAGCAAAACAAACAACATGACTGTTTCCACCTTCCTGCTGTTTAGCCTTCCAGTTTAGCATTAAGAACATGAGGTGTTGGACTTAAGACAACCTATTTTTTTTTTTTTTTTTTTTTTTACAGAGAGGAAGGGAGAGAGATAGAGAGTTAGAAACATCGATGAGAGAGAAACATCGATCAGCTGCCTCCTGCACATCTCCTACTGGGGATGTGCCCGCAACCCAGGTACATGCCCTTGACCGGAATCGAACCTGGGACCTTTCAGTCCGCAGGCCGACGCTCTATCCACTGAGCCAAACTGGTTTCGGCAAAACAACCTATTTTTGATTCCTTCCTGTATAATAATTACTAGCCAGGCCACTAATCATCAACAGGGTGAACAGTCACACTTTATAGGTGGCTGCAAAGCAGATCACTTAAAATTGGTCGGATTCTTCAGGAAAGACCCAAAGGCTGACTGTTGCATAGATCTTTGAAGTTTTATGACTGGAAGGAATGTGCCTATCTGGGTCTTGTTGACACTTTTCTCTGTTTACCCCCGACTTTAGTAGGCAGGTGCCCTCTGTTGGCGCAGCCTTGGGCCTGCCCAGGGCTCACGGCTTCCGTGTCCTCAAAAAGCCCTTCCGTGGCCTTTGACTCATTAGGGCAGTGATGGCGAACCTTTTGAGCTCAGCGTGTCAGCATTTTGAAAAACCCTAACTTAACTCTGGTGCCATGTCACATATAGAAATTTTTTGATATTTGCAATCATAGTAAAACAAAGACTTATATTTTTGATATTTATTTTATATATTTAAATGCCATTTAACAAAGAAAAATCAACCAAAAAAATGAGTTCGAGTGTCACCTCTGACATGCGTGTCATAGGTTCGCCATCACTGCATTAGGGCATCCACAGGACACACACCCAACTAGGGCTGCATTCCCACCATTTACCTCTACACCCTAATTCCTGGCTTTTCTGAAGTTTTACTTTATTCTTCTTAATAGTACAAGTAATATATTGATGGTAGAGAAATTGAACAGTCCCAACAGATGAAAGGAGGAGAAAAAAAAAGCCTCAGGAGTTTTTCCACTGAGAGACAGAACCGTGGTCAGCTGGGCAGGTCACAGCCATGTGGTGTGTCCACCTGTTTAATGTGGAAATCTACATAGTGTAACTCTGCTCAGTGTTGGGGTTCGGGAAGGTGTAAAGTGTATTGCTCTGATAAAAATCAGAAGCCTGCTCAAGTTCAAGGTGGGAGGGGACTGG